GTGTGCCACCATGCCCGGCTAATTTTTTTGTATTTTTAGTAGAGACAGGGTTTCACCATGTTGGCCAGCCTGGTCTCGAACTCCTGACCTCAGGCAATCCACCCGCCTTGGCCTCCCAAAGTGCTGGGATTACAGTCATGAGCCACTGTGGCCGGCCTCTGTTTTTTATTTTTTAATTCTAAATGCCACTAATGAAAAGTGTTCAATCTTTATACAGACATTTGAAAAATTTTAAATAAGTTTAACGGTTTCCTAGACATGATACCAAAAAGCACAAGCAGAAGAAAAAAATATCTGAATTGGACACCATCAAAATTAAAAATATTTGCATTTCAAAGACACCATCAAGAAAGTGAAGACAGGCCAGGCGCAGTGCCTCATACCTGTAATCCCAGCACTTTGGAAGACCATCCTAGCTAACACGGTGAAACCCCTTCTCTACTAAAAATACAAAGAAATTAGCTGGGCGTGGTGGTGGGTGCCTATAGTCCCAGTTACTCGGGAGGCTGAGGCAGAGAATTGCTTGAACCGGGAGGCAGACGTTGCAGTGAGCCGAGATTGCGCCACTGCACTCCAGCCTGGGTGACAGAGCAAGACTCTGTCTTAAAAAAAGAAAAACAGAAAGAAAAAAAAATTAGCCGGGTTTGGGTGTGGTGGTATGTGCCTGTGGTCTCAGCTACTTGAGAGGCAGAAGGGCCGTTTGGGCCGAGGAAGTTGAGGGTGCAGTCAGTGTGCCACGTTTGCAACACTGCACACCAGCCCGGGCAACAGAGGGAAACCCCACCTTAAAAAAAAAGAGGAAATGAAATACTGATACATTCTACAACATGGATGAACCTTAAAAACATTATGCTAAGTGACAGACACCCAGTCAAAAGGAACTACATTTTTATGATTCCATTTATATGAAATGTCTAGAATAGGCAAATTTACGGAGACAGAAAGTAGATTAGCAGTTACTTAGAGCTAGGGAGAAGATACAGGGGTAGGGAAGTGATAGCTAAAGGATGTACGTTTCTTTTTGAAGTGATGAATATATTCTAAAATTGTGGTTATGGCTGCACATATCTATTTATATACTAAAACCACTGAATTGTACACTTAAAATGGGTAAACTGTATGGCATAGGAATTATCTCTCAATAAAGCTATTTTATTTTTTTTTATTTTTTTTAATGATAGGATTATCAGCCTTGCCCAGACTCACTTCTTCACAGGTAGGAACTTTGTTTGCAGAAACCTGGAGAGCCTCCCATAGTGCAGAATCATGACTCCATGCTAAACTCTCCAAAATCTGTTCTTCAATGCTGTTCAGGTGTTTCACCATGTCCCTCGAGAGCCCCTCTTCTGAGCGGATCACCACCTCAATAACCTGCAGAGGAGAAAGGTGAGAAGGCAATGTGGTTTCAAGCAGTTAGTTCTAGTCTGGACTTGCATGTAGGACTAGCTGTGGCTTTCTTCTTCTTTTTGAGACAGAGTTTCCCTCTATTGCCCAGGCTGGAGAGCAGTGGTGCGATCTTGGCTCACTGGTGCGATCTCTGCCTCACGGGTTCAAATGATTCTCCTGCCTCAGACTCCCGAGTAGCTGGGATTACAGGCACCTGCCACCACACCTGGCAAATTTTTGTAGATTTTAGTAGAGCTGAGGTTTCACCATGTTGGCCAGGCTGGTCTAGAACTCCTGACCTCAGGTGATCTGCCCGCCTAGGCCTCCCAAAGTGTTGGGATTACAGGTGTGAGTCACTGCACCCGGCCACTGTGGCCTTATTCTGTGGCACAGAACCAAAATCATCTTTGAACCATAATTCTGTGGCTTACTAACATCTTCTAATTTATAAAGGAGCTTTTAAGTTCTTTAAAATATGTTCACATACATTTCTGTTTTTCACGTTTTATTTTATAAATGACAACCTGAGGCAATGATAGGTGATAACTGGTCAACAGCCTAACAGTGGGAGAAGTCAGGTGTCAGGTTTCAAGTCTAGTTCTATTTTAAATGTATTGTTCCTTTCCAGACTATTTTTTCCACTAACTCAAAATAACAGAATGAATGAACTATTTAAAGTGACTTTGCTTATATATACTATAATTCTATTTTAATAAGGGAAGTATCCAGAATAAAGTTTATATACATAAAATATTAATAATAGGAGTAATAATTAGATTATGATGTATGACTTTAATATCCACATTTATTTATTTATTTATTTTGAGACGGAGTCTTGCTCTGTTGCTCAGGCTGGAATGCAATGGCGCCATCTCAGCTCACTGCAATCTCTGCCTCCCAGGTTCAAGCCATTCTCCTGCCTTAGCCTCCCAGGTAGCTGGGACTACAGGCACGTGCCACGATGCCCGGCTAATTTTTTGTATTTTTAGTAGAGATGGGGTTTTGCCATATTAGCTAGGATGGTGTCAATCTCCTGATCTCATGATCTGCCTGCCTCGGCCTCCCAAAGTGCTGGGATTATAGGCGTGAGCCATTGCGCCCGGCCCACATTTATGTTTATGATTTTCTTCAAGCAGCACACATCGTTTATGTCGTTTAAAAAAACAAAGGAGGGCGACACAGTGACTCATGCCTGTAATCCCAACACTTTGGGAGGCCACAGTGAGAGGATTGCTTAAGCCCAGGAGTTCGAGACCAGCCTGGGCAACATAGTGAAACCGAGTCTCTACAAAAAAAAAGGCATTTAGCTTCTTGAATAAAATAAGGATGTTACAAATAAAAACAAATTAGTATGAGGTTGTTGACAAAACTAAACTTTTTCCTAATGGCAAAAGTTGAATATATACATTAACATTAAAGTAAGTGTATAGTAGAATCACTTCTCCCTAAGAAACCTAAAAATACTTTAATCACACTCAATAATTCACAGAGATAAGCTTTCCAATGACCTACATTTTCTACAACTTTAATTCAGGCATACTTTAGGTATAAAAATTTAACTCTTCAAACCAATTTTTCTATCACCAGTAGAAAAGTAGCCTAGATGACTAAATATTAACTAAATCATGCCAAGAAGCATAACAGTAGCATTAGTCTTAAATTTCGATACTATGTAACATTAAACGTTATTGACTGTGATGACTAAATGTTATTGAGGGTGATGATGTAGTTCAATAGCTATGACCTCTGTTTTATTTTGAAAAGATAATAAAAATAGTTGTAGTAAGAAAAATACTTAAGATTCATTCACACTGAATTAGCTCAAACTTGGGGAAGAAGCATAATCTATTATTACAGCTTTATTAGTTAGACTATCACCAAAATCAATTTTAGGTCTTTTTTCCTCTTGGTAGAAAGTGTTTTTTGTTCTTCACCACGCATTTGTTTAACAGGATTATAATTTTCATTCATAAATAGGGAAAATATGAAGTTAAGTACTAGCTCCAGGTCATATTTTCAAGTCTGTGATAACAAAGGAACTGAAGCTATAAGATTGACTTAATTTACTGATATTCTCACCTTCTCTCTCTCCTTTTTTTTGTTTGAAACAAGGTCTTGCTTAGGTGCCCAGGCTGGAGTGGTGTGGTGGCACAATCATAGCTCACTGTAACCTCAAACTCCTGGACTCAAGCCATCCTCCAGCCTCAGTTTTCCTAAGTGCTGGGATTATAGATGTGAGCCACTGTATTGTCAACTGTCTCTTGTGTTCCTGGTTTCACCCAAAAGGAATATATATTATCATTTTTTTTTCTTGAGACAGAATTTTGCTCTTGTCGTCTAGGCTGGAGTGCAAACCTCCACCTCCCAGGCTCAAGCAATTCTCCTGCCTCAGCCTCCTGAGCAGCTGAGATTACAGGTGCTCGCCACTATGCCCGGCTACTTTTTTTTGGTATTTTTAGTAGAGATGGAGTTTCACCATGTTGGCCAGGCTGGTCTCGAACTCCTGACCTCAGGTGATCCTCCCACCTTGGCCTTCCAAAGTGCTGGGATTACAGGCATGAGCCACCGTACCCAGCCAGGAATATATATTTTCAGAACACATCTGGAAACATTTTCCAGATATCACAACAGTGTTTTTCTTCAGCACTAAGATAAATACAATGTTTCTGTGAGAAACACTGTTTTCATCTCATAACAGAACTTTGTTTTCATCTTACCTTATAAAAGTAAAATGGTTGCAAGTTGAGAACTTCAATAATCCAAGGAAAAGTACGAGGTGAGCTATAGGCAAAGAGCACAATTTCCAAACAACAAGCCATCAAGGAATGATGAAATATATCTTGCTCTAAAAGAACCTGGGGGAAGAGAAAGACCACAGTTTAATATTCTTCAGCAATTTCAGTCTTTGCCATTGTACAAAGAAAACTATGGAAACAAGAAACAATAACGTGCAAATTATATTATACTAGATTACTGGAGATAAAAATTTGAGTTCTCAAACTGGTAGTTTTCCTGTAATACCTAATCTTGCTCAGTGGTAGGTAATAAATTTAAATAAGGTGTACATAACAATCTGCTTTGAAATCTGAACAAATAATATGTCAGTATTCCCATCAACAGAAAAGCATGAGAATTGGTTGTTTTTTTTTCTTAATGATAGTTAATTGTTTTGTCAACATAAGGATTTATTTATCAAAACAGAAATGAAAGGTAATATGCCACAGTTTAGACAAAAATGTTTAGAAAAAGAAATATTTCACTGAGAAAATAAAAGTCCTACTTTACCATTACATTTAATATAAGTTTTCAGTTTTAAAAACAGTGTTTGTTGCCTTCTTTCTTTCAAATATCACCCCAGATTGGCTGAGCGTGGTGGCTCTCCCCTGTAATCTCAGCACTTTGGGAGGCCGAGGCAGGTGGATTACTTGAGGTCAGGAGTTCAAGACCAGCTTGGCCATCATAGTGAAACCCCGTCTCTACTAAAAATACAAAAATTAGCTGGGTGTGGTGGCGCATGCCTGTAATCCCAGTTACTCCGGAGGCTGAGGCAGTGGAATCACTTAAACCTGGGAGGCAGAGGTTGCAGTGAGCCGAGATCACGCCACCACACTCCAGACTGGGTAACAGAGCGAGACTCAGTCTCAGAAAAAACAAAAAACAAAAAAACCAAATATCACCCCAAATCAAGAGAGGATAAAAAACAGAAACTCCATCATCAGTTAAACTAGGAGTCATCTGTAACTGTAAACCACAATATATGAAGGATGACAAATTACTCAGCAGAAGGGATGATGGTCAAGCCTAAGGACCTGCAGTGAGACATTTAAAACAAATGAATCTGTTCTAAAAGACATAGCAACTGAGGACACAGGCAGAATGGGAAGTAGGGGTGAAGCACTGGGTGGGTGATCTGAAAGTCTTAGGATCCTCAGGTCCCCACACAACTCCCACTCTATGGGATCAGATGACAGACCTCTATTCTGTCTCCAAAGGAATCTACAGGATTATTCTCCAGAGAAATTGAACTGAAGACTCAGAGGTAGAGAACATCAGGCACAGAAAAGACTAAGGTTTTAGTCTTTAGAGACTCTGCAGACTGAACCATAAGACCAAATTTCCCTTCCTTCTTCTGATCCACAACACCAGCAGCCAGGCAAGATGTTAACAGATATGTCTCTGGCGAAACTGAGACATTCCAGAAAAGTTTTATGGGCACCAGCGGATGAGATTCTCTAACACTCTGTGATCATCTGAGGTCAATGGACTTTTTATTTCCACTCTTGAAATAAAAGAGCTTTGAAACAAACTTTCACTGCCTCACTCACACAGCTTTGAACACAAGTTTTTGTGTCTCATTCAAATTTAAGTGGACAACCAAGAATTATCCGACATTTGAGGAAAACCTCTTAACTGAAAAACATAGGTCAAAACAAACAGAAAAGCGAGGTGCAGCAGCATGTACCTGTAGTCCCAGCTACTTGGGAAGCTGAGGCAGGAGGATCACTTGAACCCAGCAGTTGACACTAGCCTGAGCAACATAGCGAGACACCATCGTACTAAAAAAAAAAAGAAAAAAAAAAAGCCAGGTGCGGTGGCTCACGCCTGTAACCCCAGCACTTTGAAAGGCCGAGGCGGGTGGATTAGCTGAGGTCAGGAGTTCGAGACCAGCTTGGCCAACATGGTAAAACCCCATCTCTACCAAAAAATACAAAAATTTGCTGGGCGTGGTAGCATATGCCTATAATCCCAGCTACTCAAGAGGCTGAGGCAGGAGAATCGTTTGAATCCGTTGAGGCGAAGCTTACAGTGAGCCGAGATCACGCTACTGCACTCCAGCCAGGGCGACAGAGCGAGACTCTGTCCCCCTCCCCCGCCAAAAAAATTAAGGATCCGCTATCTGCAAATGCAGATTTTCGTGAAAACCCTTACAGGGAAGACCATCACCCTTGAGGTTGAACCCTTGAACACAACAGAAAATGTAAAGGCCAATATCCAGGATAAGGAAGGAATTCCTCCTGATCAGCAAAGACTGATCTTTGCTGGCAAGCAATTGGAAGATGTCTGACTACAACATTCAAAAGGAGTCTACTCTTCATCTTGTGTTGAGACTTCGTGGTGGTGCTAAGAAAAGGAAGAAGTCTTACACCACTCCCAAGAAGAATAAGCACAAGAGAAAGAAAGAAGGTTAAGCTGGCTATCCTGAAATATTATAAGGTAGATGAGAATGGCAAAATTAGTTGCTTTCGTCGAGAGTGCCCTTCTGATGAATGTGGTGCTGGAGTGTTTATGGCAAGTCACTTTGACAGACATTATTGTGGCAAATGTCTGACTTACTGCTTCAACAAACCAGATGTCAAGTAACTGTGTATGAGTTAATAAAAAACATAAACTAACATTTTAAAAAAATTAAAAATATTTTTTAAAAAGAGAGAAAAAAGGCTGGACACAGTGGCTCATACCTGTAATCCCAGCGCTTTGGGAGGCTGAGGTGGGTGGATCACCTGAGGTCAGGAGTTGGAGACCAGCCTGACCAACATGGAGAAACCCTATCTCTACTAAAAATACAAAAGTAGCCAGGTGTGGTGGCGCATCCCTGTAATCCCAGCTGCTCGGGAGACTGAGGCAAGAGAATCGCTGGAATCTGGGAGGCGGAGGTTGTGGTAAGCCAAGATCTTACCATTGCACTCCAGCCTGGGCAACAAGAGTGAAACTCTGTCTCAAAAAAAAGAAAGAAAAAAAGAAAGAAAAAAGAAAGAGAGAAAAATGGAGAAAAATTCAGGAGAAACAGAGGTGAAGCAGTTAAGAAAACTTCAAATAAATCTAAATTAGTAACTTTAGAGAACATGAAAGAGAAATGAAAATGTAGTTGAAATTAAAAGTTCATTGGGACGAGATGAAAAGTTAAGTAAATATCTTTAAAAGTAGAATAAAAGAGATAAAGAAATGGAAAATAAGAGAAGAAATTAAGAAGGTCAATTCAGAAGGTCCATCATCTGAAAAATAAAAGTTCCAGAAAGATAAATCAGTGGGCAATATATCATCTAAGAAATAACACAATAAAATGACCAAAACTGCAGGGCATAAATTTCCAGACTAAATGGGCAACTCTGTGGGAATGACAAATACATGAATGAAAAAAACACAGTCAGATACATTTTTACAAATTTAAGAATATCAGTGATAAAAGATAAAGATTCCAGAAAAAAAAACAGGTCACATACTAAGTGAGAATGCGAATGTCACTGGACTTCTCATTAGTAACAGTGGAATTTATAATAGAAAATAATGCAACAGTGCCTTCAAACTCATAAAGGAAAATGATTGTCAGTCTAAAATTATTTTCTTTTTTTAAGTTAATTTTTTGTTTTTAGGGATGGGGTCTTGTTATGTTGCCTAGGTTGGAGTACAGTAGCTATTCACAGTACAATCATCCTACACAGTGTACATACAGTACATACTACAACCTCAAACTCCTGGGCTCAAGCAATCCTCTTGTCTCAGCCTCCCACCAATCTTTTTTTCTTTTTTTGTCTGAGATGGAGTGTTGCTCTTGTTGCCCAGGCTGGAGTGCAATGGCGTGATCTCGGCTCACTGCAACCTGTCTCCTGGGTTAAAACGATACTGCCTCAGCCTCTCCCAAGTAGCTGGAATTACAGGCATGTGCCACCACGCCTGGTTAATTTTGTATTTTTTAGTAGAGACAGGGTTTCACCATGTTGGTCAGGCTGGTCTAGAACTCCTGACCTTAGGTGATCCACCTGCCTTGGCCTCCCAAAGTGTTGGGATTACAGGGGTGAGCCACAGCACCCGGCCTCTCCCACCAATCTTGAATTCTGTACATAGACAACTATCAATCAATTATGAGTCTAAAATAAAGGTACTTATGCAAAATCTTTAAAAGGGACTTTAAGTGAGGTAAGGTTTCTATACTTTACTTAAATTAGTTAAATGGCTATACAAAACAGCTATAAAACAAAAAAAACCTTTACAAGGCTCTAAAAAATGTTCAAGTTACCACAGGAAGGGAGGAAAAAGAAAATAAAATTTAAAAAAAGAGTGAGAACAAAGAGAAAACAAAAATAAAATGGCAGACTTAAGCACTAACATAACAATTACTAAATGTAAGTCATCTAAATTTACTAATTAAATGACAGAGATTAGCAAAGATTAGGAAAAAAAAATGACCCAACTATATACTGACTATAAGAAATTCACTTCAAAGATCACTTGAAAAAGGATGAAAAAAAATATGCCACGCAAACATTAATGAAAAGAAGGCAGGAGTGGTTGTGCATAAACATCAGGTAGATTTCAGAGCAAAGAAAATTACCATGGACAGAGAGGAACATTTTATTTATTTATTTAATTTTTAATTTTTTTTTTTTGAGCTAGAGTCTCACTCTGTTGCCCAGGCTGGAGTGCAGTGGTGCAATCTTGGCTCACCACAACCTCCGCCTCCCAGGTTCAAGCGATTCTCCTGTCTCAGCTTCCCGAGTAGCTGGGATTACAGGTGCATGCCACTATGCCTGGCTAATTTTTGTATTTTTAGTAGAGACGGGGTTTCACTATGTTGGCCAGGCTGGTCTCGAACTGCTGACCTTGTGATCCACCCAGCTTGGCCTCCCAAAGTGCTGGGATTACAGGCGCGAGTCACCGTGTCCAGCCTTATTTATTTATTTTGAGATGCAGTCTTGCTCTGTCTTCCAGGCGGGAGTGCAGTGGTGTGATCTTGGCTCACTGCAACCTCTGCCTCCCGGGCTCAAGCAATTCTCCTGCTTCAGCCTCCCAAGTAGGTGGGATTGCAGGCACCTGCCACCATGCCCGGCTAATTTTGTATTTTTATTTATTTGTTTTTTTGAGATGGAGTCTCACTCTGTTGCACAGGGTGGAGTGCAGTGGTGCGATCTTGGCTCACTGCAGCCTCCACCTCCTGGGTTCAAGCTATTCTCCTGTCTCAAACTCCTGAGTAGCTGGGACTATGGGCACTCACCACCACCCCTGGCTAATTTTTGTATTTTTAGTTGAGATGGGGTTTTGCCATGTTGGTCAGGCTGGTCTCGAACTCCTGACCTCAGGTGATCCACCTGCCTCGGTCTCCTAAAGTGCTGGGATTAGAGATGTAAGCCACCATGCTCAGCCTTTTATATTTTTAGTAGAGACCGTGTTTCGCCATGTTGGCCAGGCTGGTCTCGAACTACTGACCTCAGGTGATCCACCTGCCTCAGTCTCCCAAAGTGCTGGGATTACAGGCGTGAGCCACTGCGCCTGGCCAGGGAGTAACATTTTATAATGATTACAGAGTCAATTCATTAAGAAGGCAGACAGCAATCCTAAATGTGTAAGCATCAAACAGCAGAGCTTCAAAATATGTGGAGAAAAGCTGACAGACTTGAAAGAAATAGACAAATCTACAATCATACATGAATACTTCAACATCCTCTATCAACAACTGATATAACAACTAGACTGGAAATCATGAAGAATATAAAATAACAACATCAACCAACAAGATAAAATTGACATTTACAGAATACTCCATCCGAACATAGCAGAATACAGCAGATCCTTGAATAACAACATTTCGCTCAACATCATTTTGTCATAACAATGAAAAATAACGGATTCCCAGCTGGGGCCACTGTATGAAATTTGTACATTCTCCTATGTCTGCATGAGCTCTCTCTGGGTACTCTGGTTTCTTCTTACATTTCAAAGATATGTACATTAGCTTAACTGACGTATCTAAATTGTGACAGTGTAAGTGTGGGGGTGTGTGTGTCCTATGATGAAATGGTGTCCTGACTAGGGTTGGGTCCCGCCTTTCATCTTGAGCTGCTGAGGTAGGCTCCAGCCACTCATGACCCTGAACAGGAATAACTGGGTAAGTAATAATCTTCCTTATTTTTATTACTCTTTCTCTTATTTATTTCAACGTTTAACATTGTAAGTGTTTTGTCTTTATTTAGAAGTTTGGTGATGTTTTTGTGACTAGACATATGCCAAAGGAACTTAAACTCTTGTTTATATCAGTTAGCCTACGGTAAAATTGGTTTCATTGTGTGTTGTTTTTGCTTGAAGTCACTGTTTCCAAGAACCTACTGACAAGGTTAAATGTGAGGATTTACATTCTTTTCAAGTGGCCACAGAACATTCACCATGATAAACCATATCCTGGGCTACAAAATAACTAAAACAAATTGAAAAGAATTGAATTCATACAGAGTATGTAGAAGTGGAAACAGTAATGGCTGAGAGGAGTAAGTGTAACTAACTATAAACCGGTAGCAGGAAGGAGATCTTTAACAGTTCAGTATCTTTATTTTGGTGATGGTTACATAATCTATGCATATGATACAATTTTATACACACACACACATACACACTGTTTTAATGTCAATTCCCCAGTTCTGATACTGCAGTATATAAAACTGTAACCATTGGGGAAACTGGATATAGGATGTGTGGGACTTCTCTGTACTACTTTTGCAACTTTCTGTGAATCTGGAATTATTTCAAAATAAAAAGTTGGCCGGGTGCAGTGGCTCACACCTATTACCCCAGCACTTTGGGAGGCTGAGGCAGGTGGATCACGAGGTCAGGAGTTCAAGACCAGCCTGGCCAAGATGGTGAAACCCTGTCTCTACTAAAAATACAAAAAAATTAGCCGAGTGTGGTGGCGAGTGCCTGTAATCTTGCCTGGAATCTTGGGATTCCAGCTAGTCGGAAGGCTGTGGCAGAGAATTGCTTGAACTCAGGAGGCGGAGGTTACAGTGAGCTGAGATTGTGCTACTGCACTCCAGCCTGGGCGACAGAGCAAGACTACATATCAAAATAAATAAATAAATAAATAAAAATTAAAAAATTAAAAAAAAATAAAGTTAAAAAATTTACTTCTTTCAGCTAGGTGAGGTGGCTGTAATACTAGCACTTTGGGAGGCTGAGGCGGGCAGATCACTTGAGGTCAGGAGTTCAAGACCAGCCTGGCCAACATGGTAAAACGCTGTCTTTACTAAAAATACAAAAATTAGCCAGGCGTGGTGGTGGGCACCTGTAACCCCAGCTACTCGGGAGGCTGAGGCATGAGAATCGCTTGAACCCAGGAGATGGGAGGTTGCAGTGAGCCAAGATCGTGCCACTGCACTCCAGCCTAGGCGACAGAGCAAGACTCAGTCTAAAAAAAAAAAAAAAAAATATATATATATATATATATGTATATTTACTTATTTCTGAGAAAGCCATGGGATTGTATGCACCATCAAGATTATTAGTGTAAACTATGAAAGAGAAAGACACAGAATCCAGGAAAAAGAGACACCAACACAGAAAATATATGAAAAAAATCTCCAGGTAAACACAAAGAGAAATTCTATTACAATAGTTACGCAGCATCCTTAAGACATCAACCTGTTCCTATTGGGATAGAAAGTTAGAAGACTCCAAGACTGCCTGCAGAGGGAAATAATGAAGGAAGAGGAAACAAAGATCATATGATAGGTTTGAATTTGTAGAAAAATTCTTTTATACAGCTTATTGGAGAGAGTGGTCTGACTTGGTCAAATAGTTAAAGAACCAAAACAAACCGCCCCCCCTCCCCCCACCATTTTATAATCCAAAATCCTTGGAAGGTATGGACAAATGTCTTAACTAACAGTTGCTTTAACAGATGGAGGGATCACTAGCTGGGAATGAAGGACAAAAACAAAAAACAAAAAAAAAAAACTTAAAACACACTGATGTGTACCAAAGATGAACTTTATGTTATTTCACATTTCTGCCTAGATGTGATTAGCCTTGCATGTGCTAAAGTCAACTAAATGTCATCCTGGCCAAGTGTGTCCTAGATTGGTGACCCCCACAATGCCTTACAGAGCCTCTCAAAACACTGCTTCCAGGCTGCGACTTTTGGACCTTGCCAGTAGCACAGAGAGTGGATTTACTTACTGACATGTCCATTCCATGAAGTCTTCGTGTTTCCTGAACCATTACGGTCTCTAGTATTTTATAATACAAAATTTCTGCCAGCTTTAGTCTGTTTACAGCAAAGTCTATTGGGGAAATACAGAGAAAACATGTGTTAATGAATTTTAGTTGTTAAGGACTGAAAAGCAAAAATTATACATAAACTTAAATCTGATACATTAAGAATAGCAGGGTAGCCCGGGAGTGGTGGCTCACACCTGTAATCCTAGCACTCTGGGAGGCCTAGGAGAGCAGATCACCTGAGGTCCGGAGTCTGAGACCAGCCTGACCAACACGGTGAAACTCCGTCTCTACTAAAAATACAAAATTAGCCGGTGTGGTGGTGGGTGCCTGTAATAGCAGCTACTTGGTAGGCTGAGGCAGGAGAATTGCTTGAACCTGGGAGGAGGAGGTTGCAGTGAGTCAAGATCGCGTCACTGTACTCCAGCCTGGGCAACTCGGTCTCAAAAAAAAAAAAAAAGAAAGAAGAATAACGGGAGAGGAAAAAACTTGAATTTCTAATTTTGGGGGGATTACTTATTTTCAATGCTATGCCAACTTTAGTTTTCTTTTCTTACCTATGTGAGATCCTGGCTGTTCATCTGTTGATTGAGTATAGTGTTGGCAGAAAGTCTCTCCCATTCCTTTTAGTATTTTCATAATGTTTTCCATAGGATTACGCACACAAGATCTACAAAATACAAGAGGACCCTAATTATAAAAACAAACAAACAAACAAACAAAAAAACAATTCTACACCACAGTATTAACATGCCTTCTTTTTTTTTGTTTTTTTGAGACGGGGTCTCACTCTGTTCCCCAGGCTGGAGTGCAATGATGCGATCTCAGCTCACTGTAACCTCTGCCTCCCAGGTTTAAGCGATTCTCCCGTCTCAACCTCCCAAGTAGCTGGGATTACAGGCGCGCGCCACCACACCTGGCTAATTTTTGTAGTTTTAGTAGAGATGGGTTTCACCATGTTGCCCAAGCTGGTCTAGATCTCCTGACCTTGTGATCCACCCACCTCAGCCTCCCAAAATGCTGGGGTAATAGGTGTGAGCCACCATGCCCGGCCAACATGCCTTCTTTCAAGAATTGGTTTTTAGCAGCCAAAGTTGTATTCCCAGTTGGAAATCTACATATGTAAACAAAGCTTTATATGATAACATATTTTAACATGTAAATTACATAATAAAAATACAGATTGTATACACATGTAATATAACTTTGCTGCTGTAAGTTTGACCATATTATGTACCCTATATGAGTGGAATCATGCAGTATTTTGTCTTTTTGTGATTGACTAACTTCATTTAACATAATGTACTAAAGGTTCATCCATGTTGTAGCAAATGGCAGGATTTCCTTCTTTTATAAGGCTGAATAATATTCCATCTCATATCTATATCTATATGTGTATCTATATATATACACACACACACAAATACACACACAGTATTTTCTTTCTCTATTAATGGACACTTAAGGTGTTTCCACATCTTGGTTATTGGGAATAATGCTGCAGTGAACCTGACGTGCAAATATCCCTTTGAGATGCTGTTTTTAATTCTTTTGGATGTATACCCAGAAGTGGTATTGCTGAGTCATATGGTACTTCTATTTTTAATTTTTTGAGGAACCTCCATACTGTTTTCCATAGTGGCTGCACCACTTTACAATTCTACTAACAGTGTGTAAGGGTTCCTATTTCTCCACATCCTTACCAACACCTGCTATTTTGGGTTTTTTGGGGTGATGAGTGGGAAGTGGCTATGCTGATATGTGAGGTATTATCTCATTGTGATTTTGATTTGCAACTCCCTGATAAGTGATATCAGATATTTTTTTCATATGCTTTTGGCCAGTTGCATATATTCTTTGGAGAAATATCTACTCAATCCTTTATACATTTTTAAATTGAGTTATTTGTTGTTCTTGAGTTTTAGGAGTTCTTTACATATTCTGAGTATGAACCCCTCATCTAATATACGGTTTACAATTACTTTTCCCATTCTATAGGCTGTTTTTTTACTCTGTTGATTGTTTTCTTTGCTATGTTAAAGCTTTCAGGTTTGAGGCTGGGCATGGTGGCTCATACCTATATTCCCAGCACTTCGGGAGGCCAAGGTGGGCAGATCACTTGAGGCCAGGAGTTGGAGACCAGCCTGGCCAACATGGTGAAACCCTGTCTCTACTAAAAATACAAAAATTGGCCAGGCCTGGTGGCTAACACCTGTTGTAATCCCAGCACTTTTGGAGGCCAAGGTGGTGGATTACTTGAGGTCAGCAGTTCAAGACCAGCCTGACCAACATGGTAAAACCCCATCTCTACTAAATACAAAAAATTAGCTGGGCATGGTGGTGCATGCCTGTCATCCAGCTACTTGGGAGGCTGAGACAGAAGAATCAATTGAACCTGGGAGGTGGAGGTTGCAGTGAGCTGAGATCGAGCCATTGCACTCCAGCCTGGGCAATAAGAGCGAAACTCTCTCAAAACAAAACAAAACAAAACAAAAAAAATGTTGGGCGTGGTGGCTTATGCCTATAATCCCAGCACTTCAGGAGGCCAAGGCAGGAGGATCATGAGGTCAGGAGATTGAGAACATCCTGGTCAAGACGGTGAAACCCCATCTCTACTAAAAATACAAAAATTAGCTGGGCATAGTGGCAGGTGCCTGTAGTCCCAGCTAGAGGCTGAGGCAGGAAAATTGCTTGAACCTGGAAGGCAGAGTTTGCAGTGAGCCGAGATCACGTCATTGCATTCCAGCCTGGTGACAGAGCAAGACTACATTCCAAAACAAATAAACAAACAAACAATGGCCACAATGGCTAAGTTTTATTTATTTTGTTTTTTGTAAAGATGAGGTCTTGCTATGTTGCCCGGGCTAGTCTCAAACTCCTGAGCTCAAGCAAAACACCCACCCTGGCCTCTCAAAAAGTCCTGGGATTACAGGTATGTGCCATTGCACCTGGCCTCTAATATAGATATCTTAACAATATTAACTCTTCCAGTCCACAAACACAGATGTCTTTCTTTTCTTTTTTTTTTCGAGATAGGGTCTCGCTCTGTTGCCCAGGTTAGAGTACAATGGTGTGATCATGGCTGAGCTCAAGCGACTCTCCCATCTCAGCCTCCCAAGTAGCTGGAATGCATATCACCATGACTAATTTTTAAATTTTTTCTGAGAGACAGGGTCCCATCATGTTGCTCAGGCTGGTCTTAAACTCCTGGGCTCAACTGATCCTCTTGCCTCAGCGTCCCAAAGTGCTGCAATTACAGGCATGAGCCACAACACCCAGTGTTGCCATTTGTGTCTAGACTTTTTTTTCTTTTGCATTCTGTACTTCCTTCTTTTCCCTTATTGACATATTTGTATAGTTGCTTTGTCACTGCTTTTCAACTTACTCATGTTTGAACAGTAGTTCAATCCAGATCTATTTACTCAAATGATATGGAAGGTAGATCCAGGACAGTCTTCCTACCTTACCGGCAGTATGCTTTTCTTCTGAGCTATTTCTGAGGCTGGAGATTGTTCCGTCTACTTTCTTGTATCCCGAACGTTTGAGGAATGGGGGAGAGCTCAGCTATGTTCAGCTTTTCTTGGAGAACTAGGGTTTTGCTTTGTCTTCTGAGATTTAGTTAAATACTCCCATTCCAGGGTTCACCATTCCTAGTCAGGGACGTCTAGTTATATGAGGATCTCTCCCCCATATCATCATGGAATGTTGGAAAATGGCAGCCCTTGGCAGTTATTTATATTCTGCTGGGATCTTGGTGGTGGTACATATAAACTTTTCACTTGGGGAGATTTGTATGACTTTTTATCTGTCTGCCTGCTCCCCCATTTGTTTCTCTCCAAATCTGAAGTATTGATGAGAATTCTCAAGATCTATCACTATACCCTCTTTCTCCAACACTGCTTAGGGATAGGGATACCAGAATCATCAATTTTCTTTTTGATCTCTACTTTGGAAATTTATGTCATGAAATCATCTCTCTCTCCTCATTTGGTTGCCACTGATAAATATTTTGCTGGTTTTTACTATTCTCTTATTTTATTAGGTATTAGGAAAGAAGGTTCTCTGATCTGGCTTCATTCTACCATCTTTACCAGGAATCATGCTTCCTCAAAAAAGAAAAAGTCCGGGCGCGGTGGCTCAAGCCTGTAATCCCAGCACTTTGGGAGGCCGAGACGGACGGATCACGAGGTCAGGAGATCGAGACCATCCTGGCTAACCCAGTGAAACCCCGTCTCTACTAAAAAAATACAAAAAACTAGCCAGGCGAAGTGGCGGGCGCCTGTAGTCCCAGCTACTCGTGAGGCTGAGGCAGGAGAATTGCTTGAACCCAGGAGGTGGAGGTTGCAGTGAGCTGAGATCCGGCCACTGCACTCCAGCCTCCATCTCAAAAAAAAAAAAAAAAAAAAAAAAACCTGTATAAAATTCCATTTTATGGGCTGGGCACGGTGGCTCATGCCTATAATCCCAGCACTTTGGGAGGCCCAGGAGGGCAGATCACCTGAGGTCGGGAGTTCAAGACCAGCCTGACCAACGTGGAGAAACCCCATCTCTACTAAAAATAAAAAATTAGCCGGGCATGGTGGCGCATGCCCGTAATCCCAGCTATTCAGGAGGCTGAGGCAGGAGAATCGCTTGAACCCACTAGGCAGAGGTTGTAGTGAGCCGAGATTGTGCCATTGCACTCCAGCCTGGGCAACAAGAGCAAAACTCTGTCTCAAAAATAAATAAATAAATAATTTCATTTTTATGGCTGTACCACCAATATGCAATTAGTCCCCTATCTAATGGACATTTAGAATCTAATGGACATTTAGAATGTCCCCATTTAAAATTAATGTATGCCCTTATATAGGTGATCTTTAGAAACAAACATAAAAATAAATTAAAAAATAAAGTCAATGTAAAATCAAAACATGCATAACTCAGGGGTAGTTAAAGAGTGAAATATCAGTGCTAAATAATCTTTAAGGTACACTTATTTCTAAAAGTCTATACTCCCATGAAATAACATTATATATAATTATTTTTAAGAGACAAGGTTGGCCTGGCATGGTCGCTCATGCCTGTAATCCCAGCACTTTGGGAGGCCAAGGCAGTTGGATCACTTGAGCTCAGAAGTTCAAGATCAGCCTGAGCAACATGGCAAAACCCTGTCTCTACAAAAAATATAAAAAATTAGGCATGGTGGCTTGCACCTGTAGTTCTAGCTACTTGGGGGACTCAGGTGGGAGAGTTGCTTGAGCCCAGGAGGTGGAGGCTGCAGTAAGCTGTGATTGCGGCACTGCACTCCAGCCTGGGAGACAGCGAGACCCTGTTTCAAAAAAAAAAAAAAAAGGGAGCGATAAGGTCTCCCTATCTTGGCCAAGCTGGAATTAGTCTCACTATGTTGGCCAAACTAGCTTCCCAAGTAGCTGGGATTACAGGTGTGTGCCACTGTGCCCGACTGTTATACATAATTTTTAATAAGTACTTCAATATGGTTTTAGGTCAATATATTTTGTGATTGAAATGGTATAGTAAAACTTGCCAGATGAACATCCACTATCTTGAGAATTCTGAATATACTAAAAACAGAATGGAATAAGAAATCTAATTTTAAAAAGACATTTGAAAAAATAACAGTATTATACATACTCAAAAATATTTGTAAGTTGGTCACTTGGTGCATTTTTCAGACCAGCCACAATACTCTGTAACCGGCTGACACTTTGGGTGGCTGATGCAACAGGAGTAATGACTGCTTCTTTTTCTCGTAAATATCTCCGTCCTGTCAGAGGGGTAGAAGGTGCAAATGACCTTTTCTGTCAGAAAAGAAAAATCTGTGAGTTTTTAAAAGTTACCATCTTCCTTATTATGTGTTTAATTCAGTGCATTTACCATCTTCTCTACTCATATTTAAAATATTCATGAAATTTTTAGCAATACTATGCTAATAACATCCTTATATTTGAATAACACTTTTTAAAAGCACTTTCTACCTATAATTTCATTTAATCTTCACACCACTGATTTGAAAGATAATGTATACATACTTCAATTTTATATACGAGGAAATAGGAACAGAGAAATTTAAAAACTTGTTTCAGTTGACTAAGTTAATGTCAAAGCTTGGACAAAAACTTAGGTTTTACTATGTTCTAGACAAGTGAATTTTCCATTAGATCTCTTCCTCCAACCCATTTTACACATAGATACAGGGTTAAGCCTTGGCCATTAACAATCAAGTCCAGAGTTTTATGGCTGAAGTTATAGAAAAACACATAGTTTGTGTCATGGGTAGGAAAGCAAGCTAAAATTTAAAGCAATGTAACAGAGGCTAAGTTGAAGCAAAGAAAGAACGGTAAGAAAGGAAAACTTCCTCTTCATGCCAAAAGACATATACTCTACTAATAAACCCAGGCATGCTCGGAAAATGGATATAAAATATGAAAATATTAAGAAATAAGGTAAAAATACTAAATGCCAGTTTTAAAAATTACCTTTTAAGGCTTTCATGGGAAATATGAATTAGTAGAAGAAACTCAAGATTTAACTTGAAAGATGCTTCTGCTGTTAGTAGAATCAGACACACAGAGAAAAAGATCATTCAAGATTGAGGCCAGGCTAGGTTATATTACTTTTTCAAAGTGTTGCTGAAGGTTATATTCCACATTAGCCTGTGCGGTCAGTTTCCCTAATGGGGTGTCACCAGTGAACTTTCGAGGTGTTCCAATTTCCTCTTCTGCGTCTGCCCCCAAAAAGATCCTCTCATCAAAATCACCAACAGTTAGAACATACTCTTCATACTCCTTATTCACTGCTTTGCTGCAAAGAGAATTATTATAAGCTGTAATACTAAGTTACACAATGGATTTATTTTGACTTGAAGATAGATTTAGTGTTTACAGCTTAGAAAATCTGACAACTTTCTAATTTTTATTAACTCTGCCCATCTAACAATATCAGAGGGTCCTACCTGATTATGGACATTCTTCACATTCACACAACCAATAAATTACTTTGAAAAGTGAGAGACTACATATACTTAATCTGAAAACTAGTTGAATCTAATTATGAAAATGGTTTCTGATCACTAAGGAAACAATAGTGGCTTTGAAATATGGCAGGTGGAGGTTGCAGTGAGCCAAGATTGCGCCACTGCCCTCCAGCCTGGCAACAGAGCAAGACTCCGTCTCAAAAAACAAAAGGGCCGGGCGCGGTGGCTCACGCCTGTAATCCCAGAATTTTGGGAAGCCGAGGTGGGCAGATCATGAGGTCAGGAGATCGAGACCATCCTGGCTAACATGGTGAAATCCCATCTCTACTAAAAATACAAAAAATTAGCCAGGTGTGGTGGCAGGCGCCTGTTGTCCCAGCTACTCAGGAGGGTGAGGCAAGAGAATGGCCTGAACCTGGGAGGTGGAGCTTGCAGTGAGCCAAGATCGCGTCACTGCACTCCAGCCTGGGCAACAGAGCTAGATTCCGTCTCAGAAAAAAAAAAAAATATGGGTACTGCCAACATGTGATTAGTGAAAGAATGTAAAGTGAAATACAGAGTCATTGGGTCCATTTATTAGTTTCTCAAGAGAACAGCTGTTTTTTGTTTGTTTGTTTTTCAGACAGAGTCTCACTCTGTCACCCAGGCTGGAATGCAGTGATGCGATCTTGGCTCACTGCAGCCTCTACCTCCTAGGTTTAAGCAATTCTCCTGCCTTAGCCTCCCGAGTAGCTGGGACTACAGGCTTGCACCACCATGCCCGGCTAGTTTTTGTACTTTTAGTAGAGATGGGGTTTCACCACATTGGCCAGGATAGTCTCGATCTCCTGACCTTGTGATCTGCCCACCTCAGTGTCCCAAAGTGCTAGGATTACAGGTGTGAGCCACCGCGCGCCTGGCCGAGTAGCTGTTTTAAATGCCAATTGGCTGGGTGTGGTGGGTCATGCCTGTAATCCTAGCACTTTGGGAGGCTATGGTGAGAGGATTGCTTGAGGCCAGGAATTCGAGGCCAGCCTGGGCAACACAGTGAGATCCCATCTCTAAAAAAATAAAAATAAAAATAAATATGTAAGTGTCAATGATTTTTTTTTTTTTTTTTTTGAGATGGAATCTTGCTCTGTCACCTAGGCTAGAGTGCACTGGTGTGATCTCAGCTCACTGCAACCTCTGCCTCTTGGGTTCAAGTGATTCTCCTGCCTCAGTCTTCCAAGCAGCTGGGATTACAGGTGTCACCACACCCAGATAATTTTTGTATTTTTAGAAGAGATGGGGTTTTACCATGTTGGCCAGGCTGATCTCAAACTCCTGACCTCAAGTGATCAGCCCACCCCGGCCTCCCAAAGTGTTGGGATTACAGGCGTGAGCCACCATGCCCGGCCTCTTTCTTTTTTTCTTGGTTTATTTTTGGAAACACGGTCTCGCTCTGTTACCCAGGCTGAAGTGTAGTGGTGCAATCATAGCTCACTGCAACCTCAATCTCCCAGATTAAAATGATCCTTCCACCTCAGTCTCCCAAGTAGCTGGGACTACAGGCTCACACCACTACGTCCAGCTGATTTGTGTATTTTTCGTAAAGACAGGGTTTCACCATGTTCCCCAGGCTGGTCTCCAACCTTCTGAGCTCAAGCGATCTGCCTGCCTTGGCCTTCCAAAGTGCTGGGATTACAGGTGTGAGCCACTGTGCCCAGCCTTGATTTTTATTTTTATTTGAGACGAGTCTTGCTCTGTTGCCCAGGCTGGAGTGCAGTGGTGCAATCTCAGCTCACTGCAACCTCCACCTCTTGGGTTCAAGCGATCCGCCTACCTCAGCCTCCCAAGTAGCTGAGACTACAGGCATGTGCCACCATGCCCAGCTAATTTTTCTATTTTTAGTACAGACCGGGTTTCACCATTTTGGCCAGGATGATCTCAATCTCCTGACCTTGTGATCTGCCTGCCTCGGCCTCCCAAAGTGCTAGGATTATAGGCATGAGCCACCGCGCGCCTGGCCGGGTAGCTGTTTTAAATGTCAATTTGCTGGCTGTGGTGGGTCATGCCTGTAATCCTAGCACTTTGGGAGGCTATGGTGAGAGGATTGCTTGAGGCCAGGAATTCGAGATCAGCCTGGGCAACACAGTGAGATCCTGTCTCTAAAAAAATAAAGATAAAAATAAATACATAAGTGTCAATAATTTTTTTTTTTTTTCCTGAGATGGAATCTCGCTCTGTTGCCTAGGCTAGAGTGCAGTAGCATGATCTCGGCTCACTGCAACCTGTGCCTCCTGGGTTCAAGCAATTCTCCTGCCTCAGCCTCCCAAGTAGCTGGAATTACAGGTACCTGCCACCACACTCAGTTAATTTTTGTATTTTTAGTAAAGATGGGGTTTCACCATGTTGGCCAGGCTGATCTCAAACTCCTGACCTCAAGTGATCGGCCCGCCTTGGCCTCTCGAAGTGTTGGGATTATAGGCGTGAGCCACCATGCCCGGCCTCTCTCTTTTTTCCTTTTTTTTTTTTTGGAAATAGGGTCTCACTCTGTCACTCAGACCGAAGTGCAGTGGTGCAATCACGGCTCATTGCAACCTCAATCTCCCAGATTCAAACGATCCTCTCACCTAAGCCTCCCAAGTAGCTGGGACTACAGGCTCACACCACTATGTCCGGCTGATTTTTCTATTTTTTGTAGAGACAGGGTTTCACCATGTTGCCCAGGCTGGTCTCCAACTTTCTGAGCTCAAGCAATCTGCCTGCCTTGGCCTTCCAAAGTGCTGGGATTACAGGTGTGGGCCACCGTGCCCAGCCTTGATTTCTTAAAATAAATGTATTTAAAGCCAACAAGTCTTAGTGACAATACCCATTCAATGCCACTAAAGCAGAGAGAACTTGAATTTGGAGGTCTTACTTTGATATAATGTTATGCTTAACAAATTTCAACAAATCAACAAATACGACAGCTTGTGATATGCCAGGCACCACTAGTACCAGATATTTACCTATTATCAGTAAAACTTGAAAGGTCCAGGAGGCATTCTCCTTTTAATATCTGTGAAGAAAAAATTATTTTGGGACACTATATAATTAAGCATATTAATACACACACAAACATGAAATTTATCTAAATTTCCATATTGTTATAACACACACACACAAAACAGAATAATTAAATATTTCTTTCAGACTAGGATAAACTATTTAGCATGCAAATAACATTTAAAAAAAAAATTTTTTTTTTTGAGACAGGGTTTGGTTCTGTCACCCGGCCTGGAGTGCAGTGGTACAATCATGGCTCACTGCAGCCTCAGCCTGCCAAGTAGCTGGGACTACAAGCGTGCACCACCACACCCTACTAATTTTTGTATTGTTTGTAGAGACGAGGTTTTGCCATGTTGCCCAGGCTCGTCTGGAACTCTTGGGCTCAAGCAATCCACCTGCCTTGGCCTCCCAAGGTGTTGGCATTACAGGCGTGAGCCACAGTCCCTGGGATCCTTTAAAAAAAGTTTACTTTGCTAGAGATGTTTAGCATACAGACAATGGGCCATAATATAGATATCTGAGGAACACAAGACTGAATACAAAAGTTTGCATAAAAGAAGAAGAAACCAGTAAGGGAAGAATTTATGCTTAAAGAAAAATCTCTTAATATTTGAAAAGTGGGATACGTAATCCAAACCCCTCCTTTTACCAAAGAGAAATCTTGAGGCCTAACTACATTTAATGGCTTGATGTTGGGGAAGTAAGAAATTGAGACCCAGAGGAACAAGCCAATTCATAAATGTAGAAATAGCTAAGTTAATTACTAAGGAGAAAATGTCCAGAATGCACACAGATAGCTTACAAGTGGCTACAAAACTATCATGGATTTTCTGCTCGATTTACATGGAATTAAAACTGTGGTTGTTGGCCGGGCGCGGTGGCTCAAGCCTGTAATCCCAGCACTTTGGGAGGCCGAGACGGGCGGATCACGAGGTCAGGAGATCGAGACTATCCTGGCTAATACGGTGAAACCCCGTCTCTACTAAAAAAAAACAAAAACAAAAACAAAACAAAAAAAACTAGCCGGGCGAGGTGGCGGGCGCCTATAGTCCCAGCTACCCGGGAGGCTGAGGCAGGAGAATGGCGTAAACCCGGGAGGCAGAGCTTGCAGTGAGCTGAGATCCGGCCACTGCACTCCAGCCTGGGTGACAGAGCGAGACTCCGTCTCAAAAAAACAAAAAACAAAAAACTGTGGTTGTTATACATCATCTGACTTTTAGTCAACAGTCAGCAGTTATTCAAATTGTGGCAGTAAATTAGTCAGCTTATTCTGACTTCCTGTTTTTCCTAATTCTTTGTCAGCCCTACTCTGATGTTCTGTTCTTTACAATTCTTTATCAGTACCTCCTACACAGTCCCTGATAGGTGGGACTACGGTTGCCTCTGACAGTATGTTTACCTAACAGAACATATAGTTGGTCACATTTTTCAACAGCTCTGTTTCTCACATCACACAAGATCATAAGGAAATTCCGAATCACAGTAGAGGCTAAAGCCTGGGAATCCTGACCCTAAGTTCTATAATGCTGAGAACTTGCTTAAAACTTTTTTTTCTTCTGACACTACTGCTGACCTGTAAACATCTCAGTCATCTAATTATAAGTACAGTACCTTCTTGTCAAAGAGTTTTGAAATATATGGCTTAAAGTAGTGCTCCTTTATTCCTTTTGCTTCTACTAGAAGTCCATCATGCAGTTCACACAGTACAGCAATGATGCAGGGCGGCTCTTCAGAAGCCCTAAAGTCAGCAGTATGAAAATCAGACGGTAAACCTAGTTTGACAGTGTAGGAAGAGCAGAGGGGAAAAAAAAATATGGTCAACTTTCAAAAATCTTTTTCCAAAAACTGATAATCAGTTTTCAAAAATAAATAAAAGGTCTTACCTTTAAATGATGGATTTAGCAAGTCTTGTCTATTTGGGCACATAATCGCATTGGCAAAAATCAGATCCAAGCAGCATAGAAGTAAATGATAAGAGTTTACTAAGTCATCCCCAATCATCCGAAAATTACCTTTATAAGGGGGGAAAAAAAAGAAAAGACACAAAAACCAGAAACCTCTCAAGTCAAATAGAACGAAGTTCCCACAGTAGAAATGTAAGACCACTGAAAGTGTCATCTTACCCTTAGTATAAACAAAAAGTGTCCAACAGAAATTAAACAGATCCTTAACACTGCAAGGAATCCTCCTAAAAAGGGAAAAAAATTACTTTTTGTCTGACTAGCTTGCTAAATATCATGTAAACTGAAATAGTAAATATAAATATCAAATAGATCAAATTACACATGAAATTCCATTCATGAAGAAAAGTTATCTACTATTTATGAAATGGACTTAAGTAAGCCTTTACAATCTACATAAAATAATCAGAACATAGGGCCAGGTGCGGTGGCTCACGTCTGTAATCCCAGCACTTTGGGAGGTCGAGGTGGGTGGGTCACCTGAGGTTATGAGTTGGAGACCATCTTGGCCAACACGGTGAAACCCCATCTCTACTAAAAATACAAAAAATCAGCCAGACAGGGTGGCGCACACCTGTGATCCCAGCTACTCAGGAGGCTGAGATAGGAGAATTGCTTGAACCTGGGAGACAGAGGTTGCAGTGAGCTGAGATCACGACACTGCACTCCAGCCTGGGCAGCAGAGCGAGACTCCATCTCAAAAAAAAAAAAAAGAAAAAGAAAAAAAAAAGAAAAATAAGTAAAAGTATTATTCTGAATTTCCAAATATGGATAATTGTACATGGATTTAAAAAGAAAATAATTAAGCTCTTTGCAGGAATACTTTTCATAAAAAACAGACTTTCAAAAAAGTACATTCTCTTAGTTTGTATCATAATCTTTTTGTCAATTATGTAAGGATTAAGGGCTCACCTCTGCTTCCGGCTTCGTGGTAACTTTGGTGGTTCTTCATATGGATTTTGAAATATATCTAAAAAAATTGGCTCATATTTTTTGAATATTACAGTAGACACCTCAAAATTTCTCTCTAGCCTTTCTATACGTTCACGAAATTCTTGTGGTAGATTTGACATGTCCATCCACTTCTTCATTTTACTAAAAAATTGTATTAAACTAAAAAAAAAAAGGGAGGAGAAAAAAAGTCACCTTTAAAATTCATTTATATAATGGATTGAAAGGAAATATTCTATTCACGACTAAGATTCTTTATTAAAAAGCCAGACCTCCCAGGCAACATAGTAAGACCCTAACTCTACAAAAATTTAAAAAATTATCTGGGTGTGGTGGCACGTGCCTGTAGCTCCAGTTACTCCGGAGGCTGAGGTGGGAGAATTGCTTGAGTCTAGGATGTCGAGGCTGCAGTGAGCCTCGATCATGCACTCCAGCCTGGGTCACAAAGCAAGACACTGTCTCACATGAACAAAGAATAAACACCATCCCTCAAGCCTAAATTTAATTTTTAAAAAATCCTCATTATGAAACCACTTTGGTTCCCAGGATCACCAGGAGAATACAGGTTATTAATTAGTGGTCATCACATACAGCGTTACTTCTATGGAGGGAGCAAGAGCGCCTATCTACTTCCTTTATTCTCTATATTACCTAGACAGTATTCTGCATAAAATTTACAAAGTTAATGTTAGTTAACAGATTGATAGGTTATAAAATTAGTTTGAGGAAAAACAGAAGTCTCCCAAATGGGAAGACAATTTCATTTTCCAAATGGGAATTTGATTATGAAGCACCAGATTGTTATAGGTTAGGAGTAAAACTCAAGAGTTTGAGTTCCAATGCGTGATTCCACCACCAAAAGTAAAGGTAGCACATACTCAGAAAAAAACTTAATAGCTCTGCTGCCCAGGCTGGAGTGCAGTGGCACCATCTTGGTTCACTGCAACTTCCACCTCCTGTGTTCAGGCAAGCCACCGTGCCCAGCCCAATTCTGGGTATATTTTTTTATGTCTGTATGTTAGTGTGGTCTTAGATAGAAAACTTGCAATGTCAAAGCTCACTTAATTAAAGGTCTAGCAATATATACAGAATAATACTTGTAATTTTTTTTTTTTTTTTTTTGAGATGGAGTCTCACTCTGTCACCCAGGCTGGAGTGTAGTGGCATGATCTTGGCTCACTGCAACCTCTGCCTCCCAGCTTCAAGCAATTTTCCTGCCTCCACCTCCTGAAAGCTGGGACTACAGGCACGCACCACCATGCCCGGCTAATTTCTGTATTTTTAGTAGACGAGGTTTCACCATGTTGGCCAGGATGGTCTTGAACTCCTGACCTCAGATGATCCAACTGCCTCAGCCTCCCAAAGTGCTGGGATTACAGGCGTGAGCCACCGCACTCGGCCCTATGTTCTGATTATTTCATGTAGATTGGAAAGTCTTACTTAAGTCCATTTCGCCCAGCCAATACTTATAATTTCTTTTTAAGGTGACAGAAGACATTAACAGAAAATTATCCAATGCTATGTAATATGGTTTGGATGTTTTATCTCCTCCAAATCTCATGTTGCAATGTAATTTCCTTGGCTGGGCATGGTAGCTCATGCCTGTAATCCCAACACTTTGGGAGGGTGAGGCTGGAGGATCATCTGAGCCCACCAGTTTGAGACCAGCTTGGGCAACACAGTGAGACCTCGTCCCTACAAAAAATGTAAAAGTTAGCAAAACATGGTGGTGTGTGCCTGTGGGCCCAGCTACTCAGGGAGCTGAGGCAGGAGGATCACTTGAGCCTGAGGGGTTGAAGCTGCAGTGAGTCATGAACATGCTATTGCCTGGGCAAGAGAGTAAAAGACTTTCAAAAAAATAAAAAAGAGGCCGGGCGCGGTGGCTCACGCCAGTAATCCCAGCACTTTGGGAGGCCGAGGCGGGTGGATCACGAGGTCAGGAGATTGAGACCATCCTGGCTAACAAGGTGAAACTCTGTTTCTACTAAAAATTAGCTGGGCATGGTGGCGTGAGCCTATAGTCCCAGCTACTCAGGAGGCTGAGGCAGGATAATGGCGTGAACCCAGGAGGCGGAGGTTGCAGTGAGCCGAGATTATGCCACTGCACTCCAGCCTGGGCGACAGAGCAAGACTCCGTCTCAAAAAATAAATAAATAAATAAAAATAAAATAAAATAGAATAAAAAAGAAAAGTGACCTTCAATGTTGGAGGTGGGCCTAGTGGGAGGTGTCTGGGTCATCAGAGCAGATCCCTCATGAATGGCTTGGTGCTGTCCTCATGGTAATGAGTTTAGTTGTCACTCACCTGAGATCTGGCTGTTTAAAAGTGTGGCACTTCCCTCCCTCAATTGCTCCTGCTCTCATCATGTAATGTGCCTCCTCCCCCTTCACCTTCCACCATGACTGTAAACTTCCTGAGGCCCTCACCAGTAGCAGATGCCAGCCCCATGCTTCCTACACGGCCTGCAGAACCCTGGGCCAATTAAATCTCTTTTTTTAAATAAGTCACTCAGCCTCAGGTATTCCTTCATAGCAATGTAAAATGTCCTAATACAGCATTCAAACTCTGGACATGCTGATTAAAATCTGACACTCTTAAGAACCTCATTAAAAGATTCTTATCAATAGCAGCAAAACATTCGTCAGATTACTAAACATTTTTTTGGCTTACAAAAAATTATGCTCCCTTACAAAGGACTTTAAAAATGTTGTTTTTCCGCCAGCGCAGTGGCTCACACCTGTAATCCCAGCACTTTGGGAGGCCAAGGCAGGTGGACGACCTGAGTTCAGGAGCTTGAGACCAGCCTGACCAACATGGAGAAACCCTGTCTCTACTAAAAACACAAAATTAGCCAGGCGTGGTGGCGCATGCCTGTAGTCCCAGCTACTCGGGAGGCTGAGACAGGAGAATTGCTTGAACCTGGGAGGCGAAGTTGCGGTAAGCCGAGATCGCACCATTGCACTCCAGCCTGGGCAACAAGAGCGAAACTCCGTCTTAAAAAAAAAAATTGTTTTTATATTTGGATGATCACATTTTGCATGTGAAACCCTTTGCTTTGAGGACATTTCCACTTTTGAACCCTGTCTACCACTAGACAGATCAGCTTTACTGGAAGCTAGGATGAAGGCATATAATCATATTCTTTGTCAGATACATCTGCCTGAGATTTTGAATCTGAAGCTGGTGGTGCAGAGAAGTGAAGAAGTGGTAATTTCTTACAGCAGGATCAAGCTCCCGGCACAAATAAAGTGGCAATGTCCAGGGACAGCATTGCTAGCTATGCAAACTGTGTCCTTGCTAGATGGATTCTGTGATACGGTTTTTGGCTGTGTGGCCAACCTCCTTTTGTTCCTGGCCTTTTCTAAGCTTAGTTTTCTTAAGTCATCCTAAAGATTTTATCACCTATCCAATACTTCTTTTAAGTCAGCCGAAGTTGATAAGTGATATCTTTTATTTTTTTGAGATAGGGTCCTGCTCTGTCACTCAGGCTGGAGTACAGCGGCGTGATCGTGGCTCACTGCAGGCTCGACTTCCTGGGCTCAAGTAATCAATCCTCCCGCTCCAGCCTCCCAAGTAGCTGGGACAACAGGTATGTGCCCCCACACCCAGCTAATTTTAAAATGTTTTTTAGAGACAGGGGTCTCACCTTTTGTTGCCTAGACTGATACCCGCTTTTTATAAACAAGAGCCTTGACTACTACACCATCATATAATCCATTGCACATACTGCTCTCCCAAGAATGGTTTTCCTAACCTGGAACAAAATGCATCAGAATGTTTGAAAACAAAAAAACCTTACAGCACTGTTATAACTTAAACCATGATTACAGTTTTTAAAACTAAAATAAGAAGCAAAGTAAACTTCACAGCTTTCAATTCATTGGGATTCTGTTATAAAGAATATGATACTGCTGGGTGTGGTGGCTCATACCTATAATCCCAGCACTTTGGGTGACTGAGGTGGGAGGATTGCTTGAGCCCAGGAGTTTCAGACCAGCCTGGGCAACCTAGTGGGACCTCATCTCTCCAAAATATTGAAAAATTAATTAGACTTGGTAGTGTGCACCTATAGTCCCAGCTACTCAAGAGGCTGCGGTGGGAAGATTGCTTGAGCCCAGGAGGTCAAGGCTGCAGTGAGCTGTAATCACATCACTGAACTCCAGCCTGGATGACAGAGCGATGATTATAGGTGTGAGCCACCATGACTGGCTCGCAGTGAACTTGCAAAATAAGTTTTAGTAATATATTTGGCCTGATTATTTGCATAGGGGGCAATAATAGTGAGTGGCCACCTAGGCTCTTTTAAGTTGGTTTTGTTGGAACATTCATAAGGAATTTTGGATTAGACTTTTAAAAGCCTTGAGGCTAAGAAGACAAGCCAAGGATCCATCATCAGACTGTTCCCATAATACCTGTATGCATTGGGTGAAATCCTCTCTTCCTGAAGTCCCCAAAATATCTTGAGGTTCCTGGGCTTGTAAGAAAGTGACATTTTTTACTTATTGCAAGGTCAGGAACCTTGTTAGGGAATCTTTGAACAATGATTGCTCAAGGAATTGCTTTGATCAAAGGGACAGTCATGTAGTCTGAAACAGGTTCCAGGATCACTTCTCTCTTGTTTAAAATTCAGCTTTGGTCCTTTGTAATATTACCCCCTCCATTGGACTCAACTTCTTAGGAATGAACCTTCCTTATGATGTGAGATATTGACCTAAATATGACCCAAATACATGATTGTTCTGCAATGGCGAGTCAATCTTCCCAATCTTTTTTATCAGCTCTATAAAGTAAACCTTGGCTGGTGCAGTGGCTCACACCTGTAATCCCAGTGCTTTAGTGCTTTAGGAGGCAAAGGCAGGAGGATCTCCTGAAGCCAGAAGTTTAAGACCAACCTGGGCAACAAAGCCAGACCCAGTCTCTAAGAAAAAATAAAAAACAAAACAAAACAAAAAATTAGCCAGGCACAGTGGAGTGCACCTACAGCCCCAGCTACTTAGGTCACTGAGTCAAAAGGACAACTTGACCCCCAGAGTTTGAGGCTGTAGTGAGCTATGATCATGCCATTGCACTCCAGCCTGAGCAACAGAGTAAAAGCCTGTCTCTAAAAAAACAAAAACAACCTCAATGTTTTAAAGCAGTCTGGTTATATCTGAAAATATGCC